CCGGAATAAACTCACAAGCTTACCTGAACACGAAGAGGGGAAACCCTTTCTCGTTCGGTCTCATCTTCTATTGCCAGGGGACTCCTAAGATACACACACAGTGTACAGTCACCGTTTGTGGGCAGGAGGGGCACCTTGCGAGAGATGTAGTGCATCGCTGAGTAGCCCCTATCGAGTATCTCATAGGGGTCGTGCTGATTGTCGATCATGGGCCTCACAGAGAAGCTTCGGCCAGTATCTGTGAGCAGACTGTGAGTCTGATCAAATGAGGCATGATGTACGCTCAAAGTTGAAGTTGTCACATGTTACGCGGGCTCGTTCTGCATCTTGCTCTGAATCGAACGTGACCACGGCACATCCAGGCGGAAAGGATACTAGCTGAACCTGACTACAGCAATTGACCATTACTAAGCTGCCAGAACGGGCTCACATCTCGCATTGGGCCGAATACCTTGAACATGGTGACCACATTCTCCAGGGAAAAGCTAATGGGCAAGCCCGAGATGAATAGGGTCCGTGATGGACCTTCAGGAGCTTTCCCGTAGTGACGAAAGAGAGGCATATTACTGTCCTCGTTTCCCGACTGCGGTTCGCTGCCGATCCCCGTGAAGTGAGTGTCATCGCAACCTGAACAAAATCATCTTCACAGATATATATGCAAATGTCCGGTGTACCATCATCGAACGGGATTCGTCGAGACCGGTAGCCAGCGTTGTCCGACACCATTCGATCAACCTACCACGGTAAGTCGATCTATTACCAGTACTGCCTGCAAACCTCAGCACTGTCCCCTGTATGACTGGGGCAACCAGAATCCGACCGAGAGACGGCCACCGCCTCAGCAGCCCCGGTCATCGGTGACATGTTAGCCTGAGGACGAGGTGTCCGAGAATAAGAGACTTCTCGCTGAGATCGAGAGTGGTTGCACTGACCTTGCCAGTGCCTCTTGTTGAGGTATGATCAGATCCTACTGAGGCTGCATACTGCTTAGCAGTAGCGGCCGTGGCAGCCGC